TTATAAAGAACACATTTAATCGTCTATTGAGACCCTACTAATACCATCATGCTGTGGGTAACACTAACTAGGACTATATGTGCTCAATTTCTTTTTTAAAAATATATGATCACTTAAATTTAGATGTATCCCTTAGCAACAGAATACTTTTAGAAGTGGTTCAATCTTGCTTTCGTAATATGGTCATCATGTCAGCTCGAACTATTTGGATGCGCTTTGTCCCAAGTCTTATTCTAAAGTAGTTATTTGATTCCCCGTTGGACTGTCGACTTTGTACATTCTCTTCATAATCCAAAATAATTCTAGCTTAGATTAAGACTCAATGCTACTGGAATGAACTTGTTAAAGCCGTTTAAATAGTTCGTATAAATGAAGGCAATAGTAGGCAGCTGAGTATGCATTTCTAATAAGTTTGTTTTCCATAACACAGTATCAGTCTTGTATTTTTTCCCTTAGGCTCACAAGTAGATGGTGTTATTTTTACGAGCACTTAAGCCCGAAATAAATAATATTATTTGCCTGCATTATTATTATTCTGCAAAAGTCAATGTAACTCTTAAGAATATCTAATTGTGACTTCATATTATTGTGAATTTTTAGGAAAACGTGGTTTGCAATGGCGTGGCAGCAACGCTGGGATGAACAACTAGGCAATTCAAGTACTTCATGTTCGGGGATTTCTATATTTTAAAATATAATCAATATTCTCGTTGGTTTATATGTATTCTGGCTTGACCCTTATTTCCTCATTTTATAGATATCCTAGCTACTTTTCAATTTGATTTAGATTCGATGTCTCATTTTATTTATTTTACAATAGTCGGCTCTAATTCATTCGCGCTATTTTTTAAACAATATTATGGAGATTATGATATGGGAAAATGCCTTGACTTCCAGAAAATTCACATCTACCTTGTGACGAATTGAATTGGAGTAGTGGGTAACTTGTCGTGATTACACACTGCGCTGTCATGGTTCGAATCCCACTTGGGATATTGATAAGACCCATGCGAAGTAAAAGTTTTAATACAGTCTGGATGAAAATAACTGTTTAGAAAGCAAGTCGATGTAAAATTAAATGGGAACATCATCTCTACTCATATCATTGTGAGATAATTTAACTACCAGTCCTTCATCACATTAAAGGAATTAGGGTGAATATATATAATAAAAACGGATTACAGGTAGCCTCGAAACTCTATTTATAAACCAATAATAAATACATTTAAATATACATAAATAGAATTATTGGGTAGAGTATACTATTAATATATTATATTAAGAAGTAGAGTTGTAGGCATTATTCCTTTAAGGAAGTTGTTTGACCTTGTTTTCGCGACTTGGTAATATTGGTAGGAAAACTAATAGGAACGCACCTTGTCCTGGATCCATTGTATGCATAATTATTTCCAAAGTCGGACCGTGGACGCAGTACATTCCCATAAGTTTCACTGGCGTCGTCAATGAGTTTTACCATTCGTAGCACTATTCGTAGAACTATTTGATCATACTTTTGTAATTTTTTTCGTATACCAGCCAATTTGCTCTTGTGCATCAGTTCTTGATGTGTCAGGATTTGTGGGATTATTTCCACTTCCATTTTCCGCCTTGTATCCTCTGGATACTTAATTGTTATTTTGACAACTTCCACCAGAATATCACTAAGAACGTTACCTTCATCATCTAGTGATAAATGTAGCCTCTTCTTCAAGAGATCTGTAGATTCAGAATCCATAGGGATTTAAGATAGGTTTACTATCTTTGTCCTATCGTCATCTGTAACAGTTGATGCCTTCAAAACAGGACCCTCAAAATTTGCCCGGGATGGCTTGGTTTTGCGCTGCCTTATTATCCCATAGCTAAGCAATTTCTTGTCATGCTCTTATTTATCAGATCCCAAACCCTCTATGACTTCTGGTCTTTCATTTTGTGGAGTTTTTGAAAAATCATCCAAATTGAGAACCCCTCCTAGATTCTTCCTAAATCTAGACTTGAGATCTATGTACTTAAATAGCTTACGCCTCTCAGTATCGTAACTTTCCTCTAATTTCGGCGTAAGAAAGTATTTCATTAACTGTGTGCCTGACCATGCGACTTAATCAGAGGCTTTAGCCTCGAATTAGTCACCAAGACCAAGGGTAGGGCCAATAACGCCTCTGAAGGCACAGGTGGTGTTGTAACGGTCGAGTTAAATACGTGAACCAGAGAGAGGGCAGACGGATCTTACGGGGCAAGAGAAAGGCTGTGGTAATACCTAAGCAAGTAAAATATTGTAACAGGGAAGGCGTGATTGGAGGATATAGGATATGTGAATAGGCTAGGGCAGAATGGGAGATAACATAACCGTTTAGCACAGGTTTGGTCAACGGATCGGCTTCACTTGTCTCTTTGACGAGTTATAATATGGTGTACGAATGGTAAAACTCACTGACGATGCCGACTACGCTGTCGGCGAAACGTCTAAAAATATACTGCGTCCATGGTCCGACTTTGGAAATAATTATTCATACAATGGACTCAGGACAAGGTGCGTTTCTATTATTCTTCCTACCAATATGACAAACAAGGTCAAACAACTTCTCTACAACGGAAGGAGACTACGACCACAAAAAAAGGCCACATCATCTTGATCTTATACTTTTGATTATTCCTTTAATCTGATTATCTGTAAATCTGCCCAAATTCCGTTATAATTTCTCTATTTTCCAAAGTTGTTCTCTTTCTTACCCTGTTTAATGATACAAAAATTCAAAAATATGCCAATAATCTCAGATGTATTATTTATAACTAGCTTCAATTTCACAAAAATAATCAAATTCACATTTTATTAATTCGTCTAAGCTGAAATGGAGCGTCAGTCGGACCTTTTTGAACGTACCTAGTCCTTTCCTCTGCCATATTATTCGTGATCTCCCAAGCTTTGACTTGGCACATTGCCAAGCATCTCGCCGATATCTTAATTGGTATCTTTAGCACAGAGTTACAAGGTATCAAGTAAAGGAAATCCAGTTCACTTATTTTTTATTAAATCGTTTTAATGCCACTTATCGCATCTATTTTTTGCTCTTATATCAATAATTACATCTCTCAACCCCACTTTCTTTTGCCCATTTACTTATTCCTACAAATTTGGGCCCTCGTTTCCTACAATATTGCCTTGGCATGTGTCGCGACAGGTTGATTTATTGATGTGTAATCATCTCCACCACCTTTGCTATCGGCACGCTTCACTAAACCAACTTGTAGTGCCACAATCTAAGGGAATAATTGGGGAAAACTTGAGCAAATATTTATATGTATAGTCACATGGGCCATATTAAGTGGTGTTGGGAGACGGAGCACTCGAATGTAGAATAAAAATATTGGTGAGCAGTAATGCAATAGCCGTTAAATAGAATGTTGGTCAGGGGAATTGCGTTCACTTGCCTTTTGGAATGTACCAAGTCAATTGCACGAATCTGGAAATCCTGAATGCTATGGTAGTAACAAAACTAGGTGCGCCTTACAAAGTCTACCTGACATTCCGACCAAGTTGGGAAAATAAGTTCGAACCACCACTTTAAAGCCAATACAGACTGTGACTAGTCAGAAGGCCACTATCTTCTTCATATCGACGTTCCTTAGATAAAGTATTGTTTCATCTAGGTCCGATTTTATATCTATTCAATTAATTTAGTTTTAGTCGAATTAAGAAAATACCAAAATCTTTCGACAAATTTATTTAAAAAAATTAAATAGTATGATCATTATAAATAGTCTCTTTCAATGTCCTGCCTCGATTTAACTTACTCCTATGGCGATCTCTTAACGACTGGACATGAATAAGTTACATCTCCCTAACTAATCTGACAGTATATGGTAAATTGATTTTGGTCTTAATACTTTTGTATATTGCTATACTTTAATTAATTCAGGTAGGACTGAGTCAAAGAGCTAAAAAATGTAGTTAGCAGTTCAAACTAAAGTAATTACTATATAATAAAAATAATTATATACGATTCCTTGGTTATTTTATTAATTTTCTGAAAATCATTGTACACTTGTTGTTGAAAGTCTCGTTTGTAGCAGGAGACGATAACCTTTGTTTGTCGTAATGAAAGTTGCCGTCCTGTTTAAAGGTGTTGAAAGTTTGTCCAGCCGCTGATCCCATTTGCTAAATTTATCTCATTTTGCCGCAATCATGTCAAGGATTAAAGGTTGTCGGATTTATCATAGGATTTATTCTACACCCTCCTCTGATGTCAATCAGCCTTCACAGCCATATAGCGTTTTGCTCAAAGCCAACCATCGCCAAGGCGCTCTAATATTCGAATCAGGAGTTGTTGCGGAGCTTACGTCATCTGAATATAGTTCTTTAAGTCAAGGTTATTCAAAGATTTCGGATGCATGTGCATGCTTGGGTGTTTTGGTGACACGACCAGGACTTCTTGCCGGAGGTGTTGATATAAGGATTAACGAATCGATTTCTTACTTAGTGCTTGTCACCGACTGCAGATCCGTTGGAAAACTAACTAATTTTGAGGTTTTTCAAATTAGAGCTGTTCACTTTCTCTGCCTTCGTCAAGCCAACTTTGAAGAAGAAGCATTGGGCGAGGTTTGCTACGACTGCTTAAATTCCATATCTTTGTTATGTTATTTTTGCATTTTTTCCCTCTGAAAATAAACTTTTTGTGATTAAACTTTATTCTTGTCGTTACTACTATTCTTTTTAGATTCGCAAGTTTCTCTCCTCTGGTGCCTTTTATTTCTCACGGAATGTTTCTAATGACTGCCCTTATGATCTAACATTGAATTTCCAAAGGCAGGCTGAAATATTTAGCAAGAGATTTTTAGTTGACAATAATGATCTAACGGACCCTTTCCGTGCTACAATCTGTGATGATATTCACTCTTTGGCTGATACTGACCTCAGATTTTTATGGAATCGAGGTCTAATGAGCTATTTTGCCCGAGCTGGTATCAGACCACAAGAATGGACTGTTTCAATAATATGTGGTTATTTCAAAGATAGTATTGTATTTTGTGGGCCCAAGCAAGCTCGACTTGGTATTGTTTCTAGACTATCCGCTCAACATGCTGGCACACGGTTTTATGCACGAGGCGTTAATGATGAAGGTGACGTAGCAAATTTCGTTGAAACTGAGCAGGTATTTATTTATTACGCTCTGATAAATTCCCATTAAACAATTTAGTCTTGCCGTTTTATAGACTTATTATAATTTGTTTTATGTGAATATGTTGTGGCGTATACAGTTCATTGCTCTAAATAGTGGGCAAAGCATCTGACTTATTTAATAAAGACGTTTTTATCTGTAATTATCTTAAGTTTGCTGTAATAAAGTTCCCACATTTCCTCTAATCTATTTTTTTAGCAAATTTCTTATTTTCATATCTAATAAATCATGCATTAACAATTTACCTTTTATTCCTACAAAGTGTAGCATAAAAAGAAATATCAAGCTGCTCTCGCCCAAAGTTTACTCATACACATTTTTAACTCTTTAATAGCTTATTACTTTCATTTTTTTAACATGATATGTATTCACCCAATTTCGTTTAAGGTGATGAAGGACTGATAGAAGAATTTTCCCACAATTATATGAGTGGAGCTGACGTTTCTATGTAATTTAACATAGCCTTGCTTCCCCAAAAGTTGTTCTCATTCAGAGTGGACTGTAGTTTCGACCTCGTATCGTTC